AAAAAAAAACCTTGCTACGTGTACTGCGTTAAGCTAACTGAGACTTATAGCACTTGCATATCATTGCTCTTTTGTTGATTTTGATTGCTTCCATTGTCCTCATTTGTAAGTTGCTTTGGATAAAAGCGTCTGCTAAATGACTAAATGTAAATGATTAAAATTCTGTCGCTTAGGTTAAATTAAAAACATACAAGCAAACAAACAAACAAGAGACCAGTTTTATGTCAGCTGTAGCCTACTAAAGGTTAGTGAAAGGCAATCGGTTTAGTTTGAGCAGGTCATTTTTAGACCTTTGCCCAAAAAGAAGGTGGGCATCAAAATGTTAATGATTGAAGAGTGTAATTTATGCACCATTAGCATTACCAAACTGATTTAAAAAATAATGACTATTTACAGTTTTTTTTTTTTACAGGTTTATTTGACAGGTTTTTCGAAACACTTCACCACCTCTCACATTGATCAGCCCCTCCTTAAACTTATGCAATTGATTGGGCTTTATTGCGATCATAATGCACAAAATGATCAATGTTTTAATGGTGTTTACACTCTGTGAAGAAATCAACATAAGCATTTCTTTGTCTCTGCATATTAAACTTGAATTATTTTAACATTGAAAGACCTTTCAAATTTGACTGCCTGTAACACTGTGAAACATTCCACCCTCAATAAAGATGTGAAAAATGTGTGGAAAGTGTACCTGTGGCCTGAGCGCTGCAGCAGGTGGTTTCTGTGGCGCATTGCTCTCTGAGCGTCGACACCTCGCCCTCCAACATCTCCAGCCGATTCAGGAGCTCCTTCAGGTCCGGCAGTCCCTCCATACAACCACACGCCTGCTTGGGGATGTTGATGCGGTGGGTGAAGACGATCTGATTACTGCTGTCCAGTGTGTGGTCTGTTACTTCTGAGCCAGATGGTGCATCCTTCTGTTCAAGATCTGAACCAGCGGGAGAGTCCAGATCCGCCGAGCATAAAGAGCTGCCGGGAACTTTGATGTTGTAGACGTGGTTAAAAACGAGCGGTTGGGAAGAGGTCGGAAGGGTTATGTTGTGTATGCCGGGAATCGTCAGATCTTCCCGTCGGTGTCTGATCATCTTCTTTACCAGGCCGGCGTGATTTAGAGTCATCAGGGTTGCCAAAACCAAACAGCTGAATGTCAGGCCTCCTGAACCCATGTTTCTGCACTAATGGATGCTTGTCTTGGCAAGAAGGCCTGCCTGGTGAGTCTGGACAAAGTGCTGCTGTCTCTGAAAAAGCAAACACACAAAACATATAATAAAAAGAAAGAAAGAAAGAAAAATGTCACTGTAATTGCAAGAATAAAAAAAAAAAATGCAGAAACATTTTGGGAAACCCATTCAAAGCACCATCGTTTCAGAAACAATTGTATTTTTTATTTTTTATTTTTTATTTCTATTTTAATTTTAATTTCTGTAAAATTTGTATTTTTTATTATACTATTTAATGTTTTAGTTTTAGTAATTTTAGTACATTAAGTTAAACTAAATAAAGAAATACGTATAAGTATATTTTATTTAATTTAAGGTTTACTTTATTTAAAGTATGTATTTTTTATGGGTTTCGTTAACTATAACCTTGATTTGAATGCATTACATTAAATGTGTAAACAGAAAATTTTCACAGAAATTAAAACGAGCACAGAAATAATTACTTACACACTCTAAATACAGTAAAAAGCATTAAACGACAAGAACGTTTTTCTTCATGCAGTGTTTAATTGCAGCCATTAATCTTTAAAGTGATAGCTGACACAAAAATGACAAAAAATGAAAAAATGACAAAAGTCCATGTCATTCTCAACTACAGTTTATATTGAGCGCAGCTGTGAAGCTAAAAATAAAAATTAATATATTATATATA